ACACTTGATAATTGATTTGCATGAAATACCTGTGGTGCTTTTAGAATAACTAAGCATTTTCTCATTTTGTTGGGACCGTTACGGATTATCGCTACACCTTACTTGATCAAAATACTAATTTGAGGTTGGTTAAAAAAAAAGAATAATGTGAATAAAAATGAAAATAAAATTCAGCTGGATTGTCTGTGAAAATTCAAGGAAATTTTTACCTACTTGGAACATTTAAGTGCTTAAATCCCTTATCCTTCAACCAAGTAACACATGCATGGAAGACGTAAATCGGGCAAATTTAGGGGTGGTCAACGTGCAGGATTGAGTCCTGAAACTTCTTTAATTTTCATAAAATCAGGCAACCATTCAAAGGAACTGCATCGATGAACAAATGATGCCTTTAGTGATCCCAATTTCTCCATACCTTGAGTCTCCATTAGCCTCGGGCAATTAATCACATTGAACAAGTTGAGCCCCTTTAATCTTGCTATCACTAGCCTCTCAAGCAATTCACTATCCCTCTCTTCCATGTCAAGGAGTTTCTTCAGCTGCACTTCAAGCCCATTGTCACATTGGACCTCCCGCAGCCGACATTTACTAAGGTTCAAAATGGCGAGATTTGTGACCTTTCCGTCGGTGACTTGACATCGTATAGATCTCATTTTTCAAGACGGGGACGAGAACCCCACCAGCGATTGCAAGTCATCACAAGTTATCTCAAGAATCCGAAGTCAAGAGAGAGAGGAGTCAAGTAAAAGCTATGATCTCAAGACCTATTGAATCTCTTATTAAAGTACAATGATAAGTCAACATATCAAATTTATAAATACAATTGAAATTGTGTAGCCATTTTTCTTTAAAAAAAAGGGATAATGGCACAAATGGTCTAGAAGTTTAGCTAATGTGTAATGTTGTCCCTGAACTTTAAATTTGTTCAATGTAGTCTTTGAATTTTAGTCCAATGTACAATATCGTTCCTAAACTTTTTATTTGTTAATGTGGCCTTCGATTTTTTGGTACATCTTTAATTTAGTCCTTGGACTATACGAAAATGTTCAATGTTATCCTTCCATTATTCACAAGGAATAACGGCGTCGTTAGCTTAGCAAGGTTCTTGGACTTATTTGATTATATGCCCAATTAGGTAGAGGGGATTCTTGTCTTTATTTTTTTTTTTAAGAATCCTTAAGAAAATCGAGGAGGGGTTTTATCAAAATATAAAATAAAATAATTAAATTGTGAATATATCATTTCCTAGAGACAATCCAGTACTGATACTGGGATGTCATCCATTATGTTTTTTTGGATGTATGTAAAATCCATATTCACTTGTCTGAATCTATGTCTGATATATTATAGTCTAATAAACTTCTCCTTTGGATGTGCATGAAATCTTATTAGAATAATTTGCATTTAGATTGAGCGTCATATCAACGATCGACATTTCGCGCTTAGCAATTAAATCTAGTTTATTGCCGTGATTATGTTTCTGGTGTTACATATGCAAATTATAGAAAGACACATCCTCATTACTTTAGGAATTCATTTGGAAGAATGTCCACTAACTTAGCGCCCAAGGCTTATGGTCAAAATGTTAATTTTACAGCATTAGGTCATTGATTATTACTATAAGTTAGAGTTATCGCGGTGCTAGTCTATGAAGATTTCTATCCGCATTGTGGCAAAGCTTAATGACTAAGAAAAGGAACAAAAATAATGTAAAGAAGAACGAGTAGTGTTTTTGAATCAACCTAGATGCTTCGTCCAAAAAATGGATAAAATTATCAAAACAGTCCTAAACCTATTACAATTGTGTCAATTCAGTTGTAAATTTTTTTTTGGCCAATTCAGTCATAAACCTTTTGTATTTGTGCTAATTCAGTCCATCCGGTCAATTTTGGCCAGCCAGCACTGACGTGGCAATTTTTTTAAATATGAATGCTTACAAATATGAATAAACGAATAATATTTTTACCGTCTATGAAAATATGTAGAAATAAATTATTGTAGATAATGAAAGCATTTTTCATTGGTTAATTATTTCAAGCCATATAAATGATCATTTTTATAAAAATATTTTTCGTGAAATAAACGGAGCCTTACAACATGAAGGCAGAGTAAATCCCTTATCCTTCAACTACCATCAAGTAGCACATGTTTGGAGGACATAAATCGGGAAAATTTTGTAGTGGTCAGCGACTCAGCGTGCAAGATCAACTTCTTTAATTTTCATAAATCAGGCAACCAATCGAAGGTCAAGCCCCTTTAATCTTTGATATCGATAGCCCCTCAAGCAGGTCACTATCCCACGCTTCCAAACCACGGAGTTTCTTCGGCAGCACTTCAAGCCCCATTATATATTGGACCTCCCTCAGTCGACATTTAAAGAGGTACAAAATGGAGAGATTTGTCGAGATGAACAAGAGCGACCTCTCCATATGAAACAAAAAATTAAAGCCATAAACTTAAAGTCGCTTCGGCAAAACATGGATATCTGGTTCCACATCCTTGTCGCCGGCCACGGGCGAGGGCCGCCAAGCCCTTGCCTGGCCAGATCTGGTGAGGGCATCGTGACCCTCGTCGGATCTGGGCGAGGGCTGCGACGCCCTTGCCCAGAGCCGGCAAGGCCTGGCGAGGGTCGGTTGGCCACCCTCGCCGGCCCCAATTTCAGAACCAGAAAAAAAAAAACATAAAAACATCATAAATTATTAAAATATTATTTTAAAATGTTCAAGTCAGAGCCACGTGGCTGTCCGGCATCCACGTTAGCGATTTCCGATCAAAATTGGTCGGATGGATTCAATTGGCAAGAAATGAAAAAGGTTTAGAACTCAATTGGTAAGAAATGAAAAAGGTTTATGACTTAATTGGCAAAGTTGAAAGGTTTAGGACTGAATTGGTAAAAGTGCAATAAGTTTAAGACTTTTTAGATAATTTTCTCCCCATCGATTGCAACTTGAAAAGAAAAGGGCAAGAGACAAGAAGACGAGACATTTCAGAAAGCGAGAAAACAAGGATCGAAAGTGAGAGGCCATTAGATGGAATACACCATTATTATTAGTTGTGAATTTCCGTGTCGTTCTTGGCTGGTCTTTGGCCACGCATTATTGGATGTTGTTTGATGAGATTCAACAAAACCAAATTACATTTTCTGTACAACCACCGTGACTTAAATCCCAAGAAAGTGAACTAGCCAATTTAGACTTCGTCTCTCAAGAGCCACGAATCTCGGATTTCAGTTTCGTCGAACGATGTAGCAATGATGCAAATTTCTTGCGAATCATATCAGATCAATACGGAGGATTGCTCTTGACTAATGAGTTGAAATATCTGAATTTAGCAGGACATTCGAAAGGTGAATGCAATGACGGGATAAAATAGAGTCGGATTGATTTGCAAAGTATGCGAACATGTGAAACTTTAATATAATGATTTATATTCAACAAGACACTCGATGGAACTAATTAGGCTATCACATCATTCGACATATCTATTTTTATCAAACTATGCCTAACACTATTTTATATAATAAAAGAGGGAAAAGAAAAGGGCAATGACATTTCCTGACTAAAAAATCTTCTTCCGCAACTTTTTCATACTCTATGTTTCAATTTTGGCTTAAACTTTTTGTTGTTTCGTGAAAATCACCAATTTTCAATCGGTAGCCAGATCTAGCTCTTATTAAATTCTCCTCCAATGATGCCGTTAGAGATTCAAATGTGTCATTTGAAGTGTACAAATGTCAAATTTGGATACCAATGAAATTCGATGCCTTTCAAGAGATATAAAAGATTTTGGTTGAAATTGAGATACGAGCTAAAGTAAATGCCTTTTATAAGGAAAAAGAAAATTTGGGTCAAAATTGAAACTCAACCTAAAATTGGAATACCCGAAAGTCATCCATTTTCTTACTCCCAAAAAAAAAAAAAAAGTAACCCATTATGATTTGTGGTGGCTAAGGGCCCGTTTGGTAACGTGCCAAACAGTGAAAATTTCTGTTCTTTTGTTCCCAAAATCAGTTTGAGAACAGAAATCCGTTTGTTTAATTTTTTGATTCTGGGCACAAATTTGCAAGAATTTGTTCTTAGAATCAGTTTTGGAACAGAATTAAGAATAAAAAAAAAGCAGCTTCTTGATTCTGGGAACAAAAATGAGAATCGATTTTTTTTTCTTCTTTTCTTGGTTTTTTATGCAGCTTCTAATGTCCGACGCAAGAGGCGCCTCGCCGAATCGGCGAGATTAAAATATTTTAATAAAAAATATTATTAATAAAAAATATTTTACCGGCCATGGCCAAAAAAATAAAAATATTATTTTACCGGCCATGCCAAGAAAGAGGAGAAGAAAAAAAGAAAAGAAAAAAAAGAAAAAAAAGAATGAAATATTAAAATATTTGAAATATTATTAATAAAAAGAAATTTTGTGCCGTTACCAAACGCATTTCTATTCTTTTTCTATTCCAGGAATGGAAATTTTGGGCCGTTACCAAACGCTTTCAAATGCTCAGAATCAGTTTCCTGGCACAAAATCAAAAAGAATTATTTCTAAGCAGAATCAATTCCCGGGCACAAAATCGTTACCATGCGCACCCTAAGTTATCATCTTTTGCCTCGAATCTTATATATAATGGTTAATAACATAAACAGTCTACGAGCTTTGATCTAATGTGTAATGTGATCCCTGAATTTTTAATTTGTTCAATATAATCCTTGAACTCTAACTTAATGTTCAATATGGTCCTTGAACTTTTAATTTGTTAAATATAGTACTTGGACTTTAAGTACATATTCAATGTAGTCCATGAACTTGAATTAACGAAATGATTACATTAAATATTTTTATATAATTCAGTGACTATTAAATATGTACCAAAAGTAAAGTTTGGGGATCACATTGCACATTAGGTTAAAGTTCAAGGATTACATTGAACATTTTAAAAATTCAGGGATTACATTAAATATTTGGCAAAAGTTCATGGATTATTTGTATCGTTTTTCCTATATAAAACAAGCAAATCGCCACTTCTTTCTCTGCAAATCTTTCATTTGTTCAAAACTCAAAAACTCAAGAGTCGCTTTGGCAAGAGATGGATCTCTGGTTCCTCGTCCTCGTCACCCTCTCCGTCGCCGCCCTCCTTAGGGCCACCGTCAACCTCCTCTCCTCCCCCACCGACAAGAGGAGCCTCTCGCCGGGCCCCCTCACCTTCCCGGTCGTCGGCAACTTCCTATGGCTCTGCAAGTCCTTGGCGGAGATCGAGCCCGTCCTCCGCTCCCTCCGCGCCCGACACGGCCCCATGGTGACCCTCCACGTCGGCCACCGCCCCGCCGTCTTCGTCTCCTCACCGGCCCTCGCCCACCAGGCTCTCGTCCACCGCGGCGCAGTCTTCGCCGACCGCCCGCCGCCCCTCGTCGCCGACCGCGTCCTCTCCGCCAACCAGCACAACATCAGCTCCTCCTCCTACGGCCCTACCTGGCGCCTCCTCCGCCGGAACCTCACGGCGGAGATCCTCCATCCCTCGCGCCTCCGCTCCTACTCCCGCGCCCGCGCGTGGGTTCTCGACATCCTCGTGACGGAGCTCAAGTCCCAGCCAGGCGGCGTCGTCCGGGTCGTCGACCACTTCCATTACGCCATGTTCTGTTTGCTGGTCCTCATGTGCTTCGGAGACAGGCTAGAGGAGCAGCAGATTAAGCAGATTGAGGAGGTTCAGACACGGTTGCTTCTGGGTCTGCGGCGGTTCAACGTGCTCAACATCTGGCTGCGGGTGAGCAAGCTCCTGCTCCGGAAGCGGTGGAAGGAGTTCTACGAGCTCATCGAATATCGGAATCGCGTCCTCGTCCCGCTCATCAGAGCTCGATCCAAGGCCAAGCGAGAGCAACTGAACAAAGCCAAGGAGGACGGGAATGACGGCGACTGGATCGTGTCGTACGTGGACACGCTCCTGGACCTGGAGCTGCCGGAGGAGAAGAGGAAGCTGGAGGAGGACGAAATGGTGAGCCTCTGCTCAGAGTTCCTCAACGCCGGCACCGACACGACGTCCACGGCGCTGCAGTGGATCATGGCCAACCTGGTGAAGTACCCAGAAATCCAAGAGAGGCTCTACGATGAAATCAAATCAGTCGTGGGACAAGGGGCGGAGCAAGTGAAGGAGGAGGATTTGCAGAAGATGGGCTACCTGAAGGCGGTGGTGCTGGAGGGGCTGCGCCGCCACCCACCGGGGCACTTCGTGCTGCCGCACGCGGTGACGGAAGACACGGAGCTGGGCGGGTACGTGATTCCCAAGGACGGGACCATCAACTTCACGGTGGCGGAGATGGGTTGGGACCCGAAAGTCTGGGAGGACCCGATGTCCTTCAAGCCTGAGAGGTTCTTGAATTACGGCGGCGGCGACGGCGGAGAAGCGGGCGGGTTCGATATAACGGGGAGCAGGGAGATAAGGATGATGCCGTTTGGGGCAGGGAGGAGGATGTGTCCCGCGTCCGGGCTTGCGATACTGCACCTGGAGTACTTCGTGGCGAACTTGGTGTGGCTGTTCCGATGGCAGACGGTGGCCGGCGAGGAGGTGGACCTGTCGGAGAAGCAGGAGTTCACCATAGTGATGAAGAACCCTTTGAGGGCTCAGATTTGTCCCCGGAATTTGGGCACCTGAACTTGGGAAAATGTCTGTATATAATTAGACTTGGCAGGCGAACCTATGCTTCTGTGCTTGGAGAACCCCCGAGGTGTTTGCGAAAATTCCTGAAAGAGGCATGCTTTCCAAGTTAAATTCTCTCTTTGTTAGTAGCGTTGGTCCTCTCCTATTCTTTTGTTAAAAATGAAATTAACTGACTTGTAAAAGAAATAGCATCCGATTGAGTCTTCTGCCCCCATTCATCTTCTGGGAATTGTAATAATAAGTACTGTCAAAAATAAAAACTATGAGTCCGGTTCATTGGTTTGGTTTGCACCTAAAACTGGACTGATTATCGCCGATTTCAAATTTTAGGAATTGGGAGCTACCTAAAACCTGTCGGTTTGGTCATGTTCCGTTCCCGAGTTGGAACCGGATCTGTGCATACCCCAAACTTCATCCTCTTCTTTCATAGTTGCCGCCACTTTCCCCGCCATCCCCATCAGGGTTCCACTTCGACGCGAGCAGGTTTCAAGTGTCCCATTTCATAGCCTCGCGAATTTGGACTTTCCTACTGGATCAGAGACATTCATGGACCCATTGATCATTATTTTTCATAAAGTATATAGAGATTTTATAATGTAATCCAATCACATGTTCTATACATCTTACTTGACCCTGATTAATAAAATCGTTCTTTGAGAGCCATCTAAGGGAAGAACAGGCAGACTCCTTCAAGTGATGGAAAAGCGTGCGGTTCCCCCGTTGAAGAGTAATTATTCCTTCCCTCTCATTTTCGTGAACCCAAAACCATCAACAAACCCGATCATACTTCTATATACTAAAAGGCGAATAGATTTGGATAAACCTTGAAGCTATGTTAGTTTTTTGGAAAATGAATGATTTCAGAAATGTTTTCATAAAAATGACTGCTTGTATCGCTCACAAAGATGAATGGACGGAAAATATTTAGACATGAATTGTGTAGAGAATGAAAGCATTTTCAATGGACTGATTATTTTAGGCGATACAAACGATTATTTTTAGAAAAATGTCTTCCAAATGATTCATTTTCAGCGAAACAAACGGGGCCCGAGTCAATAACCCAACTCTTGTTAATCAGTATTATCCCAATCTAACGACAATCTAACGTTGCTCTCTAATCTATACGTCCCCGTCTTTGTCGAGGAGAGTAGTTCGAGCATCATACTTACCACGTAGTCATGTCTGTAACTATGCCATTAACGACAAGACATCTCGTGATTTAATGGAATCGGTCTTTCTAAGTTTCATCGCATAGTTTCGACATCTTTTACGCCATGGTTCTATATAGGCATAAGAGCCTCCTTCTTAATCTACATATGTAAGATTGATAAGTGATGCCTTCATTCTGTGCGTTTTATCCTCGCGGAGAGCCTTCCTTGGTCCAGGTTTCTCCTGTGATAAATCCTATTTAATTGAAATTTAAATTTCATTCATTTTCATGGAAAATAAATAATTTGAAAAATATTTACCTAGCCAAAATCAATCGTATCACTTGAAATAATAATCAAGCAATTAAAAATGCTTTCATTATTGACAACAATGAAAATATATTTTGATCATTCATTTTTATAAGCGATACAAGTCACTGTATTTTAAAAAAATAACTTTTAAATCGTTTCTTTTTGCGAAACAATCGCACTCTTGTATAGCTTGTGCAACCGCAGCACGACACTTGCAATTTGACAGCTTTCGCATAGCGTAATGCCAATGCTATTATTAATTTATTACCAAGAGTCTACCTCAAATCGATAAATGACTAATCAAATTCAATTTCTTTTTTCTATTAAAAGGCCCGCACCCATAATATACAATTCCGAAATTTTTTTTTATTCAATTTCTTTTTCCTATTACTTGTTACTTAAATTAAGTAATAAGAATTATTTGGGATTACTTATGTTATGAGTGCTCAGGTTCTCGTTTGTTAGACCCCAAACGGTTCCATCCTTATCTGCAAAGTGCTAATTTGGTCAAACCTCAAAGGTCGCTCCGGCGAAAGATGGATCTCTGGTTCGTCGTCGTCGTCGCCCTCTCCGTCGCTGCCCTCCTCAGGGCAGCCGTCAACCTCCTCTCCTCCGCCTCCAAGAGGAAGAGCCTCCCGCCGGGCCCCCTCACCTTTCCGGTCATCGGCAACTTCCTATGGCTCTGCAAGTCCTTCTCGGAGCTCGAGCCCATCCTCCGTTCCCTCCACACCCGCCACGGCCCGATGGTCACCCTCCACGTCGGCCCCCGCCCTGCCGTCTTCGTCTCCTCCCGGGCACTCGCCCTCGAGGCCCTCGTCCACCGCGGCGCCGTCTTCGCCGACCGCCCGCCGCCCCCGGCCACCATGCGCGTCATCTCCGCCAACCAGCACAACATCAACTCCTCCTCCTACGGCCCCACCTGGCGCCTACTCCGCCGCAACCTCACGGCGGAGATCCTCCATCCCTCCCGCGTCCGGTCCTACTCCCGCGCCCGCGCGTGGGTCCTCGACATCCTCGTGGGGGAGCTCAAGTCCCAGCCTGGCGGTGTCGTCCGGGTCGTCGACCACTTCCAGTACGCCATGTTCTGCTTGCTGGTCCTCATGTGCTTCGGAGACAGGCTCGAAGAGAAGCAGATTAAGGAGATCGAGGATGTTCAGCGAAAATTGCTGCTGGATCTGCGGCGGTTCAACGTGCTCAATTTCTGGCCGCGGCTGACCAAGCTCGTGCTCCGGAAGCGGTGGAAGGAGTTCTACGAGCTCTACGAGAATCGGAAGCGCGTCCTCGTCCCTCTCATCAGAGCTCGATCCAAGGCCAAGCGAGAGCAGCTCAGCAAAGCCAAGGAGGACGGGAATGACGGCGACGGCGATTGGATCTTATCGTACGTGGACACGCTCCTGGACCTGGAGCTGCCGGAGGAGAAGAGGAAGCTGGAGGAGGGCGAGATAATGAGCCTCTGCAATGAGTTCCTCAACGCCGGCACCGACACGACGTCCACGGCACTGCAGTGGATCATGGCCAACTTGGTCAAGTACCCAGAAATCCAAGAGAGGCTCTACGATGAAATCAAATCAGTCGTGGGACACGGGGCGGAGCAAGTGAAGGAGGAGGACCTGCAGAGGATGGGATACCTGAAGGCGGTGGTGCTGGAGGGGCTGCGCCGCCACCCGCCGGTGCACTTCGTGGTGCCGCACGCGGTGACGGAGGACGCGGAGTTGGGCGGGTACGTGATCCCCAAGGACGGGAGCATCAACTTCATGGTGGCGGAGATGGGTTGGGACCCGGAAGTCTGGGAGGACCCGATGGCGTTCAAGCCCGAGAGGTTCTTGAACTGCGAAGAAGAAGCTGGGGGGTTCGACATCACGGGGAGCAGGGAGATCAAGATGATGCCTTTCGGGGTGGGGAGGAGGATCTGTCCCGGATACGGGCTTGCCATGCTGCACTTGGAGTACTTCGTGGCGAACTTGGTGTGGCTGTTCCAGTGGAGGTCAGTGGCGGGCGAGGAGGTGGACCTGTCGGAAAAGCAGGAGTTCACCATAGTGATGAAAACCCCTTTGAGAGCTCAGATAAGTCCACGGAATTCGGGCACCTGAATTTGGGAACATGTATCTATGTAGACTGTTGCCTTCTCAATAAAATTCCCATTAATGAACACTCTTCTTCTGCTCTTTGCGGTGTATGTAATTAGACTTGGGCAGGTGAAGCCTAGGCTTCTTTACTTGGGAACCGCCGAGGTGTTTGCGAAAATTCCTGCAAGTTAAAACTCGCACACAAACTGCACCCACCCCGGGTGGGCCACCCGTTGATGCCCAATATTGATCCAGACAGTGCATGTGAAGCTTCTGTAGCCGCCACTGCGATTCCGATGTCATGCCATTGTCAAACACTAGTCACCGTTTGACGTAAACCGTAGTAGTAATATCTCTTCATAATCATCGATATTTATCCCTAATTATAAGCACTGGTCCTCCAATATCCTGTGTTGAAAAAGGGGAGGAAGAAAAAGAAATAGCATTTTTACTCAATTTATTTCGCAAAAAATATGATATTTTTCGAAAATATTTTTAGGAAATCATTTTTCACGAAAATGATAATATTTTCTGGTATTTGCTAAAACTTGAAAATGAATTAGAAATTTTTTTTCGTCATTTGATATGGAAAATCTAATTTGATTTTTTTAAATAGACATACACTATTCAGATGCTAGTAACTTGTGCATGGGCAGTCGGGGATTGGGTAGGAACACTAGAATCTTGGGTTCAGCTTCAATGAACACCGACCCGGGCACTGGGATAGAGGCACGAGCACCTAGGTCCCGAGCCCGACCTCAATAGACTTAGGCACGGCCTTTGTAGACTCAGACATGGCCTTTGTGGACTCGGGCATGGTGTTGTGGATCCGAGCTCGAATACTGGGATCCCGCGCTAGACCTTTATGGACCCAAGCTTGGATGTCGAGATATTGAGCACAGGCACCAGGGCTTCGAGTCCGGCCTTAATGGACCCGAGCACGAACACTAGGATCTCGGGCTTGGCCTCGATGGACTCGAGCAAGGGTGCGGGAGACCCGAGCACATGCATTGGGGTCATAAGCCTTGATGGACTCGGGGCCGGGTGCTTGAGACCCAACCCTAGACGCTGGGCACTAGAGAACCCGCATTGTAGTTTCCATACATAAATGTAGAATTTCGGGTCTAAGTGCTGATGTCTAGTCATATCTTGAAAAATGATTTCTGAATTTTTAAAGAAAAAATTATTTTCCTAAATTTAAGTATAAATTAAAAAATATATATATTTACTGACTCATTTTTTTAAGAGAATCAAACGTCGAAAAATGAGGTTCCGAAACAAAAGGAGTATAGACTTGGCAGGTGTACTCGTGCCGCTATAAGCCGGCAAATTTGTCCTTTCCCGCGTTAATCGGTTGTTTCGGGCCGAGCAAATTGAAAGTAGTTTATTGCTGCAGTCATCGTTTTCGACGTTACGTACGCAAATCATGGAAATGCACGACCCTTATTACTTGAGCAATTTCATTTGGAAGCACGTGTCGGAGATTCATTCACGAAGGTAGCGTCCAAGGCTCCCTCGAGAAAAATGTTGGATCTTATTGCATCATTAGGTCATTCATTTACTTTAATTTTTCATACTAGTTGGAGTCATCGTGTTAATAGAGTAATAGTCCACGAAGATTTTCTATGCGGATGCTGACACGTGAGACGTGACATGCCTTAATGACTAGGAATAGGATCGGAAACAATATACAGAAAATATGCAAGTCCGATAACATTCGGTCAAATGATGTGTTTC